ATGAAAATGAAACTGAGGAAAAAAGTTCAGAGGATTCTAAGCAGAACATGGAATTTGATATTCTAAAACAGGAGAATGCATCTAACAACACCGAGGAAAATAGGAAGGACCAGAACAACTCAGAGTTAAAAGTGGATGATGGTGAAAATAGCAGTTCTTTGAACACAATGAACACTGAAGAGAAGGATCACAGTAATAAATCATCTGACTCTAAGAACAACTTGCTTCTGAATTTGACAGAGACAACTCAATCCAATAACCATTCTGATTCAAGAAGTAACGTGACTGAACTGAGTACTGAAAATGACAGGAACTCAACAGGATCCAGTACAGGAACATCTGGTTCAGCACACGGTGGAGCTGAAACTTTGTTGGATGCAACTCAAGCTCTAAATACAACACAAGTTGGTGCAACTTCTGTGGAGGACAACTTGCAAATGAGTAAACTGAATAAGACTGAGGCTAATAACAATCTAACTGATGCCAATTCAACAAGTTCCACAGAATCCAGAAATCCAGATGCAATAACCGGAGAATTATCAAATTCAACCACCAATTCAGGGTCTGTTATGTTAGAAGAGAGTACAAGGTCAAATGAAACAGCTGAAGGGGATGAGAGTTCTAAGTCTTCAGCTACTGAGGAGACTACCAATTTAACAAATAATGAGAAGGAACACAGTGACAAAGAATCAGGCAGTGCAGATGACAGCTTGGTCCCCTCTTATGCAGCAGAGGAGACAACAGATGCTGTTCAACACGATCCAATTGATTCATCTGATACTACCATCCCTATAGAGGAGAAAGAGGCTCGCACAGATCTGGATACATTGCCAGATATAAGAACAGAAGGTGATGAAAATGAAGATGCTGCAGCAGAATGAGATATTAGAGTTGTTTGTTTGAGTAGTGTTTCAAAGGTTTACACTATCCTTCTGTTTTCACACCAGTGGTGTTACTATATCAAGAACATAGGCAATTTAATATGATCAAAAGATGAAATCTGTACATTAACTTCTCCATCCTTGATGTCCATATTTTTCTTGATGTTTTTTTGTCGTTTGTTCTTTTGTTTTTTCCTTCACTCATTGTGTGAGGTCGGCCTTCATACCGAATAACTCTGTAGGAAATTTGGAGGTATATGAACTGATGTGAAATTTACTAGGATCAGATGAGAAGTGAATTGGGAATTGGGGATGCGAATGTTCTAAACATGGCTGAAAAGGAAAAAGAGGGTTTTGATATTGTTGACTTTTATTTATATATTTGGCTTGAAACAAATGAAGGTGTTATACCATTCTGAATCTCAGATCTTCCCTTGCAGCCTAAAAAGAAGGCAAATAGAAAGTGTGTGGAAAGTCTTTGACTTTTGCCCACATGCCAAAACAGTCCGGGGTGTTTCATCTTGTAGCTGATATATATTTATATATCTATATGTAGAGGTGTACATTGTAGGATTTATATCACATTTTTTTCTGTGCAAACTTAATCAGAGTAATTACTGTTTTTGGGTTGTTATGTTGATGGATATTTCCCAAGAACATAGGATTCTCAAAATGCAGTAATATAGAGATCCCAATAAAGAGTATAAATAAATAAAATGAGGAAAAAGAATTCTGGTGCTCTGTAATTCTCTCACTCTGTACACAAAAATAATTTAAAAAAAAAAAAACAATAAAAAAAGATGATCCAACTCAAAAACTGCTGTTAGTTGCCAGAAGCCAAAAAGAATCCAACGCCTAACCAATTAATCAGTCAATCAGTTACCCACCACCACCACCGACTCATCCCCCCTTCCCCTATACGACAAACCATTTACACATTAAACGACAAACTGCTGTCTCAGCTCTTTCCTTAGCCGTTGAGAAAACAGCCTACAAGCATCCATGCTCAGGTCCATGGCTGCTGCCAGCGCCACAAAAGCTGCCGCATCCTCCGTGCACGTCACGTGCTGCACCCCCACCTCCACCTCTGGCTTGCTGCACTTCCCCACACCTTCCACCGTTGATGACATTACGAACCCTCTACGTACTGCTTGTGGCAAGAACCAGAATCTGAACCTGACCCTGATCCCGGTCTTGACCCGGAACCCGATATTGACCACGATCCCGACCCGAAATCGA